GAAGGCACTTTTCTTCTGTTACAGACTTGGCTAAATCAATGGAAACTCCATACTCTTTGTCTTCATTCTTCTTTCCTCGCCACTTCCTATAACATCCCAGATACACTAACCCACAGCCCACAAACAGCTCCGTGCCACCCACCAGGGGGAGATGAAAACAGCTCTGATGACACACTCCCTTAGCTCCTTCCCCCTCTCACCCCTGGGCTCACTTGTCACCAGCTACTTCCAGCTGAAATGCATGGTGCCTCTCAGCAGGTGAGTTCTTCTGGCTTTACTTGAGGGTGAGGGCTTTTTGGTTTATTTTGTTTTTGTTTTGAAGACCAGCTCCCGTCTGGTGGCCATATGTAGCCATCTGGGCTTCCCATAAACCACCATAATGACAAGGCAGGACTCATAAAATCATTTTCGTTTTCCATAGACGGGCTAATTTGAATTTAAGATATGGTGTGTTCAGCATGTTCAGAAGATAGGACCCTCAAGTCAAGTTAACCTACTGTTAGATTTTTCTGCCATTCATCCACCCCGGGAGATCTCTCTGCTCCTGACCCTTTCAGCACCTCCTTGTCCCTGTGGTCCTAATTTGGGGGTAAGACTTGGCTCCCTCCAGGCCGTCTATCAATCATTTTTGCTCCTTATGCAAACACAGACAGTTTTGTCATTATTCTAAAAAATAAGTGCTTTTAAGGAGGCTGGGAACCAGTTTCTCTTGTTCTGTTCTATAGCCATTTTTACTCGTAGTGGCAATAACCAGCCATGCCTACTGTTTTTCAATGTGGTAATATGGTTCTCTCTCTGATATAAACAACTCACCTTTTGGCCTTGCAGTTTACTCGCCGGGGAGCATGATTATTTTCTTTATTGCCTTGTAAAATAGCTTGCCTGTCACATTATAGCTTAATTGGGAACACAAAATAATAAATAATTTAAAACAAGGAAAATTGCTGTCAATATGGAGAGCTGAATAAAAACACGGCCCCGGCATACGTCCCTCCAGTGTCACTCAAGGGTTCTAGAACACAGGGCTTTAAATCATATTTGGCATCAAGCACGCCTTTGAAACTTTTCTGAACTTGTTTTTGCCTCCAATTTCCCAATAAAAATGGTTCAAATTATTTTGGTTTTTTTTCCAAAGCATATTGAACCTTTCTTGTCATCAGATTTGTCCAACAGAAAGGATGTTAATATTGCTCACCGTTGACCCATCTGTAAAAGGGGGGACAGAATAGTAACTGCATGTCTGGGTGGCTGAAAGGACTGACAGGAGGAAATCCATGTAAAGTGCTGAACAGAAGGCCTGGCACAGAGTAAAGACTGCAGAGATGTGAAGAATAGAGAAAGTCTGGTGCTTTTTTACACACATAAACATTCGGATGCAAATAGAACCAGTGCCCTTCCCTGAAAAGATGGGTTTGACCACTTAAAGAGCTTACCTCTGGGGAAAGGAAGGAAGGATCTGGAGTGGGATATGGTCCCTTTCTCGTTATTTACTCTGTGATGGCTGATTTCATGTGTCAACTAAAATTACGGGTAGGCTATGGTACCCAGCTGTTTGGTCAAACTCTAGTCTAGATATTGCTGTGAATGTATTTTTTAGATGTGATTAACAATCACATTCAGCTGGCTTTGAGAAAAGCAGATTACCCTTTACAAGCTAGGCCCCTTCCTATCAGTTGAAGGCCTTAGGAGCAAACACTGAGGTTTCCTGGAGACCAGGAATTTTGCCTTAAGACTGCAGCATAAAAACCCTGCGTGAGTTCCCAGCCTGCTGGCTGTTGGCTGCCCTTCAGATTTGGACTCAGGACTGCAATATCAATGCTTACCTGAATTTCCAGCCTGCTGGCTTGCTCTACAGATTGCAGATTTCCAGCCCCCACAATCCCATGAGCCAATTCTTTAAAATACATCTCTCTGCAGATATAGATATAGATATACATATACATCCTATTGGTTCTATTTTTCTGAAGAATCTTGACTAATCTGCTACCCTTTTGTTCTATTTGAATTTATTTTTAACCATATTTTTCATAAAAGAAGATATTGGATTTCAGGGTACAGATGGACGTGGGGCAACCTCTTTGATACCTCCTCATTCAATCTCTGAGCCATGCAATCATGGGGACTGCTAGTGACACAGACAGTTTAGAAGCCACTGGAGTATGTCACCTTGTGGCTTCCAGCCAGGCATGTGCTAACTAGACTCCAATTCCAAGAGTTGCTGTTGGCTCCCAAATTGTGTCAGTTGTCAAAATTTAAAATACCTTTTAGTGATAATCTGGGGCCTATCATATATCATCAGGAAATCATTAAATTGCTGTAGTGTAATATGTGATATTGTCTATACAAGCACTTAATCTTCTGAAATGCGGAGATGATTTTGGGGTCTCCTAAGCAACTGTTTAATCTGAGTCACGAGTAGGGATAGATCTAGCCACTTAAGAGCTGTCTCATTCTGGCAAATCCCCTACCTTTCTGGGCCTCATTTGTTCTTGAAAATGAGAAAGGTAGAAGTAAATTGTCTTTTAAATTTACTCTCAAGTTCCACTAAGTAAAAAGCCCCATGAATATTGCACTGCCTGGTTCAGCTGCTATCATACACCCTTTGCAGCCAAAACCAACTTTTTTCCTAGGAGCTTAGGCTCATGGGACTCACTTTGCTGAAGACAATGGGACATTGGCCCCAGCAATGGTTCATTAGTCCAACATTAAGTGGGAAAACAGAAGAGCCCTAAGGTTGGGGAACTTAGAAAAATGCCAAAATGTTGAACATGAGCAAAGTACAGATTAAGAGGAAAGCTTCATGTAAGAGGAAGATAGATTTGTAGACATCAAATGCCAGCATGATGCATAATTGGCAGTCTGTGCCTTGATCTGATGAACTTTGCTGATTGACACCATTATGTTGGAATCTACGGTATGGCTCCTACCTCCATTCTGTGACTGTTTTGTTTTAGGCACATGCATGCATTATTTTACTGAATCTTTACAACCAAGCTATGAGGTTGGTATTATTTTCCCATTTTTTTTTCAAGTGATGATAGGTACTGAGGATCAGATTGTTAAGTAACTTTCCTAGGGCCAGATTATTAAACTGGTAAGTGGTGGAGCTAAGATTCTGTTTTTTGCAACCCCAAAAATCCATAGATATTCCTTTGTACATCTGTGTTATGATTGCAAAAAATGAATGAATGCATAATTTGATTAGCTTGTTTGATCATTTATAGCAATAAATTACCCCATTCTTTGTATAACACATTTTACAATAATTTTCAGAACTGTACTTACATGGATGAGGAGGTAGTCCCCAAAATGTGAAACTTTGGTATTGCAGGTTCTCTGAGGCCAGAAAGCACACGGAGCCAATGTCGTCTTTTTGAGTCTGAGAATTTGGTCAAACAAGGGGTGTTGTCAGAGACATCACAGGGCCACCCATACATAAATGGTCATTACTCTAAATTCTTTGTTCTGGGAATCGATGGTGAAAATCTCACCCTTGAGTGTCAAGCTGTCACACTGGGTAGATGAGATAAGTCACATACACTTGCGTCATTGCAATTGTCTCATAGTTACTCATGCATGCTTGTTTTTAGGAATAGGTATTTGATGAAAGAATTCATGACCACAGGGCCCAACTCAGGAGTAGGCAGGCAGAGGCCGAGGTGCTGCAAACAGAGGGACCTCATGGCCATACGAATGGGAAAAAACAAAGTACTCCCAGCCCTTTCCCCCACCCAATATCCTCCTCCTCTTCTTCTACTGAGAAAGCCTCTTTCTGAGAGATAGAGGAGGGATGTTGTCTCTAAAGAGTCATTGTTAAATTACACAATTTTTCCTAGGACAACACAGGATTGTGAGGAGTGAGTTGAACAGTGTCTTAGTCTGTTGTGTGCTGCTATAACAGAATATCTGAAACCAGGTAATTTACAGTGAGCAGAAACGTATTGGTTTATAGCCCCCAAAGCTGGGAAGGCCAATAGTAAGGTGCCACCATCTGGCGAGAGAACTTCTTGCTGCATCATCGCATGGCAGAAGGCGAGAAGGTAAGAGAGAGGCGGGGGAACTAAACTCACCCCTTTATACCAGCACAAATCCCAACCATGAGGGGGGCCTGCATGGCCTTATCACCTCTTAAAAGTCCCACTTTCTAATACAGCTTAAATTTCAACATGAATTTGGGAGGGGACAAATATTCGAACCATAGCAGGCACCTTCCATTCTAGACTTTTGTTAGCATGGATTATTTGATCGAATTATATTATGGAATTGTACCGAGACAGGGGCCCTAATGATTAACTGGGTACAGTGTCGCGGGTGGAGCAGAAGAGCTGGGCAGCAGCAGAGAGCAGCATTAGGCCAGGTCCAGTGCGCCAGTCGGGAGCTGGGCAAGAGTAGCCCAGAGTGTGCACAGATCCTTGGGCTTTCCCAAACAGGGAACCTGGGCATTCAATACTTTGGATAGTTTGAGGGGAGTGGCAAACTAAGGCAAAATATGTTAACAATTTGAACTTGATATCCATTAGAAGCATAGTAATCCCAGTTTTGAAAAACTTCAATCAAAATCATTCAGGTTTTTTAACAAGTTCTAGAAATACATTTTCTAAATGAAATATGAATTGGATGTAATACAGAAATGGCAACCACATGCCTCATCTCTTCCCATCTGCTGGGTTTTCTGCAGCGTGATGTGGTAGAAGGCAGCCTGGAAGAAGTGTCTTGGGTCATGAGTCCCCCACTCACTTGCTGTGTGGTCTTGGGCAGGTTTCATTTCTCTGAGGCTCGATGCCCTCATCTGTAAAATGAGGATTTTTTTTGGATGATTTTTCAGTTTTTTTCTAGGTCTAAAACTCTGTGATTCTTCCAGAAGTTTTTTTGTTTGCTTGCTTTGTCCTCTGCATTCTATTTCAATAGGAAAAGGGAAAGAGGAAAAGCAGGAAGAAAGAGCAAAAAAAAAGAGACCCAAATATTAAATAAGCCTCAATCCAGTATCAAGCACCCTAGAATTAATAATGAGAAATTACTAATTTCTGATTAATTAATTACATTTATTAATCCTGATCATAATGTAGGAAATACACAGTGTTACCGTCACCATTTCACAGGTGTGGACTCCAAGGTTAAACATTTGACCAAGGTTAAGTAGATGTCTTAGTCTATTTGGAGAGCTATGACAGAATACTTTGAAGCGGATGGCTCAGGAAAAACATTTGTCGTCATTCTGGAGGCTGGAAGTCCAGGATCAGGGTGCCAGCACAGTTAGGTTCTGACGAGGGCCCACGTTCTGACTTGCAGGTGGCCTTCTCGCTGTGTTCTCCACTTCACATCGTGGACAGTTCAAGGGGTCTTTCTGGGGCCCCTTTTATTAGGGCACTTACGTGATTTTGAGGAATCTGCCCTCATGAGCCACTCACCTCCCAAAGGCCCCATCTATTCATACTATCTTATTGGCTATTAGGTCTTAGCATATGAATTTGGGTGGGGGACATAAACATTCCTTCTGTAGCAGTAGTTAAAGTGATCATTTAACACAAATAGGGGTGACCTCAGAATGCGTCTTCTTTCCCACGCTGTCTTTGCCACACTGTCTCCCGAAAGGGGTAGAAAAAAAGAGGAATAAAGTTAGACAGTGGGAGTGGAGAGGGAAGAAGAGACGTTGAAAGATCAGAGGAGACACATGTGACACGGACTACTCACAGTGATTCCAGCAATTGCTACACAGACGCCTCCCACACAATGGTCGTAACCTTGGTTCTCATCCACTGCGTGGGAAAGCTGCAACATGCTCCCCGCTGGCCAACGGTGGTTCATCCAGGGTGACTCTCAGCAGAGAGGTGTGCGTGCTGGGTCCAGCAGCGTCCACGAGGGACACATGTGGAGTTTCATAACAGTGTCTGGGTACCTCTGATGTCCTGGCTGGAGAAAGTTTAGAGACATAGCAAGGGAGACAGATGGATTAGGGAAGTGGGGGAGGACCAGACAGGTCTTTATTTCCCTACTCCTCTCCGTTATATGTCTCTAAAATTAACACTGCAAGAACTATGCTAAGAAGCAAGCTTTTATATTATAAGGATTAGAGCCACCAAATCAACCTTGTGCACATGGCACTTCCATCACCTCAGGCTGTGACCTCTCATAGGTCTTGGTCCCCCAGGTTTGAGGAGATGAGTCCCCTTGGCTGAGGCATTTCTAACTGGAGGATTTCTGCAGGAAGTAGTTATGGGTGAGTCAGGACCTGGCGCTCATCCCTCTGAGTCAATAATGAGCTGATTTCTCAGTGGGTTAGGAACGAGTGGAGGTGGAGTCTTAAATAAGTGGCAAACCGGACCGCGAGCTCTCCCGGCACCTTCTCTCCAGGCAAGGAGGTTAATGCCAACGTGTTTCCTCAGTCCCAATTTGGGTCATTATATTTTTAATTATCTGTTAATTATCCCTATAGATTCAACAGGATACATTATCTTCCATTTCCTACCTCTAACTTGAAAGCACTGATGTGCTACTCAGGCTGGTGACTAATGAACAAAGCCACATCTCCAAACCTTGCCTACTCTCTTCTCCAGTCTCCCCCATAATTCCCTCACCTTTTCTCATGACGTCTCTCCCGAGTCCTAAATAATGGCCTTTAAAGAAAGGGCCACATTGTGCAGCCGCACAGGGGACTCCTGTTTGTTTTCAAATCCCAGCACTTTGGGAGGCTGAGGTGGGTGGATCACTTGAGGCCAGGGAGGTTCGAGACGCCTGGGCGAACGTGCGGCTAAGACCCCTCTCTTTTACAAAAATTAGCCGAGTTTTGGTGGCTCATGCCTGTAATTCCAGCTACTTAGGAGGCTGAGACAGGAGAATCGTGCTTATAACCCGGAAGGCAGAGGTTGCACTGAGCCGATATCGGCCACTGCACTCCAGCTCTAGTTTGACCAGAGTGAGACCCATCTGGAAAAAAAAAAATTGGGAAATAAAAAAGAAAAAGCAAAATGGACCCCTGGCGCGGTGTCCATGCTGTAATCCCAGCAAAAAAACTTTTGTCCCTGACGGCCGTCGGACCGGAGAACTCCACGACCAGGCTCAGGAGATCGAGGACCATCCTGCGCTAATACGGTGAACAACCACCCCCGGCTCTTTATCCCCTGTAAACAATCACAACACAAACTAGCTGGGCCCCTCCGGCGTTCGCGCCCCGACGCCTGTGCCCCGTCCGCAGCCCCATACTCGGCCCCCCGAGGCTGAGGCAGGAGAATGGCGCGACCACCCCCCCCCCCCCGGAACCCGGGAGGCGGAGCATCTGCACGTGAGCCGACCGCATCGGCGCCGCCGCACTCCAGCCTGGGAGACAGCGCGAGACTCCGTCTCAAAAAAAAAAGAAAAAAGAAAAAAGAAAGGCAAATGGCAGGTGTTGATTTCCTTAATGAATTCATTTGCCTTTTGTTGGTTCCTGAAGAGAGGGAGACAGAAGTCACACAAAGAAAACTGGGAAGGGGAAGGCTGCGTGTCCCCTGCTCACCTCCCTGCGTCCGGAGGGAGCGGAATCCGGAATCCCTTAGTGAAAGGCGGCACCCCCGGGACTGGCTCCCAGGGCTGGGGCTGGAGGGGCCTCGGTGAATGACTGCCCTCTGAATCCCCTCCCTGCCTGAACTCGGGCCCTCCTCTCCTCGCCCTGGTGTCGCTGGTCACCGGCTGGGAGCCAGGATGGCTTCCATGGGTACACTGGTCCACATGCGAGAACTAGGTGGCAGGGACGGGTGAGGAAGGCCAGCTGTGTTGTGTGTGTGTGGTGTGTGTGTGTGTGTGGGAGGAGGGGGTA